AATGAGATATCAAATTATTCAGTCAAGAGTGAGTTAGGAGAGTTGGTGATCTCTTGGACAAATCACCGAAGGTGCCAAGATAGGTTCATCACGAGCAGGAAGGAACAAGGGAAAACAGGAGGTTTTCCCCGTGGACCGACCCGTGACGAGATCCTATTCCCGGGCCCGCAACACATAGATATCAATCATGTCCAACTTGTCACATAAATCATTGTGCCGTAGATGATATAATCCCTTGGTAAAGATGTCTACAAGTTGATTTGTGGAACTGACATACGGAGTGCACACTTCCCCATTTATAATTTTCCCTAATAAAATGCTTGTCAACCTCAATATGTTTACTATCATGAAGCACTGAGTTGGCAGCAATGTTGATAGCAACTTTGTTATCACAATATAAGGATATGGGGCCATCAACAAGAAATCTCAACTCATTCAACAAGTTCTTTATCCGCATAACTTCAGCCACTCCATGGGACATTGCTCTATATTCAGCTTCAGCACTAGACCTCGCCACAACATTCTGCTTCTTGCTTCTCCACGTGACTAGGTTTTCTCCCACAAAGGATGTGATTTTTTATGTATATATAGCTCGTTTAGGACATATATTTAATGTTATTGATGTATATTTTTTATTTATTGGAGTATCTATAGTGTTTCCATGCGTATTTTAATTTTTCGTCCGTATCCACGCGTATCCAAGGCATATCCCGATATGTCTCTTAAATTTGTCTTTCTGATACTTTAAACCTTGGTTCTTCCCTATCCTTCACCCCCTTCACCATGGGTATACATCCTGCTAAAGTGGCTTTGCTATCACAGATTGCCAGATTGGGGCCGAGACAGGAATCTGGAACAAAAGACATAGAGCACTCATCAATAACAAAAAAGTAATTAACTTGGTTACCTGGGCTTGGGCAAGAAAATGGAGAAGAATGAAGACTGGTGTTAACATTTCCCCTTCCCTGTTTAGAGGACTGATCTTTATCCGTTTCCTTAGGTTGGTGAGAAACCAATCCTATCACACGGCCAACACTGTGATCCCTCTCTATATCCTACTACTTATTCCTGTTCAGTGAATTCCTGCTCTGCCTCAAGTTGTCCTGATTCTTTCCCCTCATAGGACCTTGCACATCTTGAAACAATAGAAATGAGTTACTCCTTTGTGCTTGAAGATTCCCCCCCCCCCCATCTGCCTGGCCTTTCTCTGTTTTATTTTCTTCCCATGTTCTGACATTCCAGTCCACCAAATCGGCCTGCTGTTTTTCTTCCTCTTGCAGCTGAAACCACCTTCCTAAATTCATGTTTTCCAGAATGTCTTCATTGCCCACGCCTTCATTGCCCACAATTCCTACGTTTGAACTGTCCTCAAAGTCGTCCATTTCCTCCTCATCCACACTACAGTCGGCCCACCCTTCATCCTCTTCCTCCCTTTCTTCCATTCTAATCCTTGTATATCGCGTGTTCAGCCTCTCATATGAGCGGTGTTGGACAGTTTCCTCTGACCTGGAGAGGGACCTACGGGAGAAATTTTTCTTTGCCTTGTTCCTGCCGCCGCGGGCCTTTCTGTTCGAGGTGACCCAAGATGGAAGAAGATGGATGGAAGTTCCCGTCTATAAACTCCTTGGTTTTGGCTGTTTTGCCCCGGTCCACATGATCACTTAAGTTATCACGTGGGTCAGGTTTTTTCCTGCCTCGACCCACTACTGAACCTGTGAACCACCCCTGTCCCCGAAGGGTTCGGACAGCGTAGCTCGGCCTCGCCTAAAGCACCCAAACCACAGTTTTTCTTGGCCACGTCAGCATAAGAAGGGCCGCCTCCTTCTTTACATCTAGATTCAAACCACTTTGAATTAATTTCCTTAAACAGATTTTGTCGTTCGGTCTTCCCCAGCCAATTATTCAGCTTCCTTCTTTATTTCCCCTTGCATGTCAGTATGTTCCACCATTCCCTCGCTGCCACGTGTCCTACCCTGCCCCGTCAGCATCATCTTCTACCTCCGTTCCTCCTCCCCACAACAACGCTTCAGCTCTTGAAGCCAGCCACACCTGATAATGCCATATCCCTTCTGCGCATACCTGAAGAGAGCGAGGCAAACTCTCTGGCTTAGCTCTAGCAACACGAAGCTCAAGTGCACGCAAGCTTCGCAGGTCAAACTCCAACAGAACTCCTCCCAATGTCTGTGTGATGCTTCCAAGAAAGGAAGCCCTAAGAGTTTAATTAGAACACTTCCTTCACCGAGCTCAATCTCGTTGCATAGTGGAGTCCAGCTCTGAATCTGAACCAAACCACCGTCCACTGAGACTGTGTTGAAGCTTAACTCCACCTCTCCAACATCCAGAACAGCTTTCCTCTCTGCAAAGGGCAACAGAGTTGCATCCACTTCAACACCCACCTTCCGAGCAACTGCATCCAATATTTTGGTACAATCCTTTACATCCTTCGCGGCCGTCAGAATCACTCTCTAACTGCAGTTGCCACGCCCAGCATCAACCATCAATCTGCAATGTTTTGTCGAACAAAGCATACATATTTCCCTGCCGAGGCAAGCTCTGTTCCTCAGTGTTCTCAACTGCTTCATTCTCGCTGAAATCCTTCTGAGTCTCTTAGCTTTGTTTTTCTTTGCCTTTGTTGATTATCCCCCCTTCTTCGTTCTCCCTCCTCTCAACAGTAGTAAGGAAGAGGTAAGGCTTATCGGAAAAGGCCACCCATCCCTTCCCCTTCTTCCCTTCCGGCACACACACACCATTTGCCTTTTATTGTTGCCAAAGAGTTCTGTAATAGTGATATACCATCCTTTCCTGTTTCTTCTCAGTTCCACTGCAAGTCTTCCCAGAGTGGACAATAGAGTTCTTCCAACCTTCCTCCCTAACAGAGTTCAGAACACCATCGACAAATCCTTTCACCCATAAAGTTACCTCCTCCGGCAAGAGCACTGTCACTCTACTCCCTTCCCTGATCTTCAGAACTGTCTTCCCTCCAGACCAACCCTGCTGGAACCTGAAACTCTTGGCTTCAACATCCAACTGAGGTCTCCATCTTCCTACTGTTCTGAACTTTCTGATACCATCCATCCTCTTCCTACATAAAATGGAATTCCACTAGCAGACTCAGATGTGTTAGCCCATTCCCATTCCATAACTACATAAAATGGAAGTCCCTTCCCATAAGAAACCTCTATGGATTTTCCTACTTTAGCCCCCTGATAGCCATAAGTGATAAATAGAACTTGCTAAAGCAATTTTGTTGAGCATAACCCTTCCTCCAAGGGGTATGTACATTTGTAGCTTGCCAACTGCTTTTCAAGCCTTTCAATAACCAGGATTCAAGTGTGTCATGTGATGATGCTCTAGGTACAAGCCACCAATAGGGTTATCCAAAATTCCCAATAAATATATGCCATGTTTCAAATGGTGCATCCCGAAGCATTGAGAATCTTGAAGAAAGAATACCAAGCGAAGGACCCTTTTGGATCAACTAAGTGAGCACAACTATTCTAACGACCAGAAACCAGAAATAAGGAAGGTGGAAGATATCCTTCAGATGGTCCAATAACCCTGATAACATCTCATGTTGGTAACTAATAAAGTGTGATCATGGTAGTAAATAGAAAACAAGAATAGAGTGGAAGTCAAGATAAGAAGCATATAATGTAAAACCCCCCTACCCCAACCAAAAGAGCAAAAAAGTGGTGGAGCACTAACCACCTATTTAATTTTTAATGACAAACGAAAATACCATCTTTCATGGTATTCCAGGCCAACACCTATAACACCCAGATATTTGTGCATGCCTAGTTTACCAATGTTGGACATGATATGTACCCAACACAACATCAGATGCTGCATGAACACTTCTAGATATACTCCATAGCATCAACATTTCTAAAAAAATGTAAAATGGTATGTTTTAGCAAACCATACCATTAAAAAAATCCACAATGTTAAAAATGCAATTACATTGGCAAGACAAAAGTCTTAAGAATTTTTTCTCCAAGATTTTAGGAAGTGGAGAGTAGTATCCTCATTTCCCATAGCCACCTCCATGCTGGTACCCATATCTGGGCATTGTAACTCAGTATTACACAAAATAAGGCCATTACCAATGTTGGTCCCAGAATCCATTGATCATCTTCATCTGCGCTGAAAGGTAACCAGTCTCTTATTTAACCATTTTTGTGGGTTGCTGAATGTAAGTTGGTGTCAGCCAAGGAGTCTTGTTTGAGCTCATGCAGTTCTGGAAGCTGCCGGGGTTAAATCAAAAAGGCAAGCTACTTTGGAGCACAGTACCCAATGCAATATGTTGAGTGCTGTGGAAAGAAAGGAATAGGAGGAATTTTGAAAGGAAGAGTTGGGGATTGGATAAGGTGGTCCAGCAGGCAATGGCATTTCTTCATTCCTAGTTGTCAGTCAATGACCACTTCAGCAGAATTCCACATACTCAGTTTTTTTATAACAGTATTCTATTTGGCTAGTCAAATAAATTTGACCTGCTTCTTAGCATTCTTTTTGGGAAATCTCATTTCTTGAGGCCTCACTGAAAACTGGTGTATAGTTTCTGGCTGTACATGTTGCATATATGAGACACTTTGTAATCTGAATTTTACAGTTTACAGTATACTGATAATACAAAATATTACCTTACCTTTTCTAAAAAAACCTTGGGTCTTGGAAGAGGTACACTGGATACAGACCTAACCTTTGCCTTTTTTTCTGCACAAAGTGGCCGCTCACGGGTTCCAACCCACTTTTTCATGCACGACAGCCAAGATTTTACCATTATACCAAGCAATGACCCATATAATTTAGTATTACACAACAAAAACCATAAAGTACAAAGTTGTCTACCCAAGTAAGTTGTCAGCCTGGCTATTGCCAAGGTAAGACAACTCTGCTCCCCTCCCCCAAAGAAAAGGCTAGGTTTAAAATGATGGAAATTATATATAATATAAAAAAGAAAAGAAAATTTATGCATCTTTTTCCCTTTTCAACAGGAAAATTTTATTGATCAAAGAAAGTGAAAACAAACACCTTCAGAGAAGGAACATCCCCAAGAGATACAACTTGATTGAGATAACCCCTAACTATTATACACTAAATCCTACAAAACTATGAACCCATCCCTTGTAGGCGTAAACATGGACCCATCACCCAGAAACATAGGAGAGTGAACCCTCGGTCCTGAATAAGAATACCACAACAAAGATCAGCAAGAAGAAACACTATGATATTCATGTGCGTTCACTAAACTCAGCCCTAGGAACCCTTGCACC